TGCAAAGTGATTTTTGGTCTTTGGATAGACACCTAGTAGAGGAATTGCAGGATCAAATGGCAGGTCTACTTTTAGATCCCTGAGTGTTCTTCAAACATCTTTCCAAAAGGAACATATTAGCTTGATTCCCACCTGCAGTGCAGAAGTGTTCCCTAATTTTTTTATATGGAAGCATTCTTATGATTATATAAGAATGTATTTTAAAGATGACACACCAGAAGATCCCATTCTTAAAATACATTCTTATATAATCAGAAGAATGCTTCCATTTAAAAAGTTATCAATACATAATAGCAGACAATTGCAAATTTATCAGTAGATGTTAAGAAAGCATTTCATAGTATTTGGAAGGTGAGCCTATTAAAAGTAAATAAAAGCACCCTAGGAGGCCAAGGTGGGTGGATTTCTTGAGCTCAGGAGTTTGAAATCAGTCTGAGCAACAGCGCAACCATGTTCTACTAAAAAATTAGCTGTGCATCATGGCTAGTGACTATAGTCTCAGTTACTTGGGAGGCAAGAGAATCTCTTACACCCAAGAGTTTGAGATTTCTGTGAATTAAAATGATCCCATAGCACTCTACTTAGGGTGATAGAGTGAGATTTTGTCTCAAAAAAATAAATAAACAAAATATAAATAAAATTGAAATGCAAATTAAATACTTAAACATGGTAAGGTTCCTAAAGATCTAGTAGTAAATCATCATTTTAACAGGTGAAACCTGCCTACTATCTCTTATAATTATTTTGACAATTCTAGTGAATACAATGAAAAAGAAAATGAATATGCATGAGTTCTAGTAAACATTTATTTTCTTCTTATGTATGCTGCATGCAAATAAAATCTAAACATAAAAAAACCTATTGTAATGCACATAATAATTTGGAAACATGTTTTAACATAAGATAATGAATATTTTATTTGTAATAGCAACAAAACACATACATTTATAAAACAAATATAAAGAAACTTAATCTAATCTGAGTAAGTGCTTTTATTGAGAAATATAAAAAAGCTATTAATGATTGGAACACCTATCATATATTCTTGGATGCAAAATCTTGTTATCATTAATGTTTATTTTTTATATTTGACTGTTAGTGTGTACTTCTTTTTAGAAATTTAAAGCTTTTGTTTGTTTTGTGAAAAAAAGAATTCATATTAAATGAAGCAGCTCAGAAAATTTCATCTCAAAATATAACTTGTTGATATAAAGAGTATTTTGAATCACAGGCCTGGAGATGAAAAAAAGCATTGGAGGAGGCTTTTTCTTTATCTGCATAAACTTGACTAACCAATTGAAAGATCTAAGGAGGCAATTGACTTTCCTTCCTCTCCTTGTTATTTCAAAATATTGCAGAATGCCACCATGCCTGGCCCACATGATTTAAAATGTACTTGTCTTTCAGATTAATGTAATAAGTAAATCAGTTTTCCTCATCCATTCATCCTCCCTAGCATCCTCCCTGAACAGAATTACTTATACTCCTCATTTACCCCCTTCCTCCTAACAGGTATGTATAAAAATAGTTGACCCTCAAAGGGGGTTCAACAGCAATTTGGATTTTACCTTACAAAAGCAAACAATGTAACCTCACATAAACCCAAAATTCAACAAACAAACAAACATAAAGCTAAAAAGAAAAACTGAACTTCATTGGGATTTTGGGTAATCTTTCTTTGATTCTCTCCATGCACATGGTAAATAAACCTTTCTCTTATTAATCTACCTTAACTGTGAGTTGATCTTTCAGTGAACTTTCAGGAGAAAGGTAATATTTCCCCTCTGCCTATACATACATAAATCACCCTATGAAGCTACTATAATAGATCAGTAATATGTCATCATCCATACAAATCTTTGTAAAGCAAGGGCCAAGCACATAAACACATATGTGTGTGTATAATTTAAAGATGATTTGCATAGTATTTTGTATGGGTGAGAGAGAATGCATTTAACAGACTATTAGTATATAATCTCCTTGATGAATACACTTTGGATTGTGACACAGAGAGGCTTAACAGTAAAAACTATCATAACAATTTTAGAATGAAAACATAAGAGACTCTATGTAGAATATGGGAGTCAAAGATATAGTTTTAAAATGACATAAAAAGCAATTTTTTTATTAAATCATAACTGTATACATCAATGCATTTATGTAGTACAAGGTGCTGATTTTATATACAATTTGGAATGCTTACATCAACCTGGTTAACATAGCCTTCACCTCACTTACTTAATTATTGTTTTAAGACATTTATACTCTACTCATAACAAATTTGACATGTACTCTTGCAATATACACCATAGATGAGGTCCCACCAATTAGCCTCGCTCCACCTGCCATCTCTTCTTCCCTCCCCCTCCTCTTCCTCCTTCACCCTGGATTATAGTTGTGTTTTACCTTTCATATGAAAGTGTAAGTGATTATAAATTGGTTTCATAATAGTACTGAGTACATTGGATACATTTTCTTACAGTCTTGAGATACTTTACTAAGAAGAATATGTTCCAGCTCCATCCATGTAAACATGGAATATTATGCAGCCTTAAAAAAGATGGAGATGTTTCCTCTTTTATGTTTACATGAAAGGCAAAAGTTTTTAAGGAAGGTAAAGGAAGATTTGTTATATATAATTATATTTTCTTGTGAATTTGTTGTCCCAAAAGGTCAAAGACAAATACTAGATTGGGAAAAGCATATACTAAGATCTTTTGCAAATTTATATTTAAAACATAAACAGTCCAGTAAAAAAAAGAATGATGGTTGTTTGAATAGGCCATTCATGGAAGAGGAAACAAAATAATCAATGACATATAGAAGACATTCACTTTTACTATCAGGAAAATTCAAAGTAAGTAAAGTGAGATAATTCTCACTAATAAAGTTAATAAAAATTTCAAAATAGTAGAGCAGTCAATTTTGTGTATATTCAAAAGAAAAGGCATTCTCCTACATGGGGTGGAAGTATAAATGTATACATCCTTTTGGGAAAGAAATCTATTGTGAAAAGAAAATAAAATCTTAGGATCACCCTCCAACTTCTTATGCAAAAGATTCCCTTTTTATCTTCCAAAATTCTTATCTTATGTAAAAATGTATATTTTTCTGGGTCTCATAAGAATATAAACATTTTGTCTCACTATCTCCAACCATTGCCATTTTTTTCTCTTCTATATGCCTTTAAATGCTGAAGCTTCCAAATTACCCTTCAGAAAAACAGCCACAGTTCCATCTGTGGTTTGTGTTTTTCACTTAAATAAATTAAATTTATTTAATGGATTGACTTTGAAGGATTTCTACCAAAAAACTCCAAGATACAGAAAGGTGCATAGAACATTATTCAACCATTATGCTGCAAATGAGGCAAGTTCCTCATATATATGTTTGTACATTAATAATTGTATTGACGTAAATAAAAAATTAGGAAATTAATCATGTTTATAAAAGAAAACTGTAATTACACTGTGTCAGTCTATTTTTGCTGCATACCAACCACAAAATCGCAGTGGCTCACAACTACAGCATTTGTTGGAATGCTGGCTTGTCATTGTATTGGCAGAGGTCCTCTTGACATAGTCTGCTTTGACTCTGCGGCTTTGCTTCAGTTTGGCTCTAGGGACCAGGGACTGGGCCTAGGCTGTGGATTTGACTCAGAGCTGCATGATGTATTTTATTCTGGAAACCAGGTCAAAGGGAAAGTACCTCCTAGGGAAGCACTACCATATTATGAGAAGTTAGATCACATTGTAAAATCACAATTAAGTCCCTGCTCTTACTACATCAACTAATATCCTATAGACCAAGACAAGTTATGAGCACCACATTGACCAATGAAAATCATGTGTCTAAGCCCCAAATCAGACCGACAGTAAATATCAGCTGCACACTTCACGATGTGGGGGTTGATGTGTAACGTTACCACTAGGAAGTAAAGAATTGAGACTAATAATTCCACACACCACATGTAAGATTCCATTTATTTGAAATACTAAAAAAGGTAATTTTAATTAAGTTTCAATAAGATAATTATGGGTATTTTTAATTCATTCTATTTTTCTGAATTATGTAATTTTTAAAAATTAAATTGGTTCATATACATAGCAGTTTATTTCTTTTTTTTAAATTTTGGAATATTATGGGGTACAAATATTTTGATTACATGAATTGCTTATTTACAATTTGAGTCAAACTTATAAGTGTACCCATTACCCAGATTGTAAGTTAATGGACAAATAATGATTGTACAGATTCATCAGGTCCATAGTGCTATTTCTACACATATAATATATAGTGACTAGATCAGAGTAATTAGCATATTATCCATCTCTTGGATGATGGATATGCTAAATATTTACTATCTCTTTGTGGTGGGAAATGCAATATGCATATATATTCAAAATTATACTAATATTAGAATACTAAAGAATGAAAAAAGTATTCCTCTTCCTCTTCTTTTTCCTAGCCTGATCAGGTTAAACAACCTAGCTCATGGTATGAGAGATGTAACTTGTGTTATGTTCCTTTATCTAATCCCTAAGGATCAGTCAGAATTTGTACTTCTCCTGAGGGCCCCAAACCAGTAGAAGATCTTCCATCCAACTGAGTATAATGTTTCTGTCTTCTTTTTCCTTTGCCATGTAGCTTTTTAACTCCTCAACTTTTTCCATTATTCAGGCATAGATATAGTGAGGGAATTAACTAATAATAACACAAAACAACAGCTGCACACTTGAATATTTGTGACAGTGCCAGGACTCTGGCCCTTTCTATGCCATTAACATTTAGTGTAACAGTGGATGTATCACTTTCATTCTCTGAGGCTTGTCACTCTTCATCACTATACACAGGCACACTTCTAGGAATAGGCAGATACGTCCATGCATCTGTCCTTGTGTGTATCACATGGCTATTTTGTGTGTGGTGAACCTAGTCATTAGTCATAGATCCTTTTGTAGGAGGAGTCCTGTGCCATCAAATGTGGAGGAACATCCTCCTCACTGAGTACAGCCCACCTTCCTGGGATGTAACCTCTTGAATATTTTCTCTTGAATCTCTTTCATTTTGACACTGTAGAGAACAGGGTTTATAAGTGGAGGGAGCAGGAAGTGGATATAGGAGAGAAGTGTATAAGCATGCTGAGGGATGGGCAGCTTCAGATGGCTAATCAGTGCCAGCAGGATCATGGGGACATAGAAGAGGAGCACAGCACAAAGGTGAGCAGCACAGGCTTGGCCAGCCTTCCAGCGATCTTCCTTAGACCCCACACCTTGCAACATTCTGCCAATCAGGCCATAGCAGAGGAAAATAAGCAGGGGGTCCAATCCCATAGCAGACAGGACCACAAAGAAGCTGTAGAGTGCACCCCAAGCCCCTGGGCAGGCCAAACGGGCCACATCAGGGTGCAAGCAATAAGAATGGGTCAGGACTTGTGGGTGGCAGTAGGGCATGTGGGCCAGGAGAAATGGCAGGGGCAGATGGAGACCCAGGCATCGAAAAGCAATGACTAGGCTGATCTTTTGGATGACACTGGTGGTCAGGAGTGCTGGGTAGTGGAGAGGGAGGCAGATGGCCAGTGCCCGGTCAACAGCCATGGTGAGTAAGACAGAGGACTCCATGACAGAAAAGATGTGGATAAAGAACATCTGTAGAAAACAGGTTGATGCAGGGACAGTGTGTGCACCAGCAAGGGCAAGGCCCAACAGTGTGGGCATCAGGGATGTGGCTAAGCCAGCATCAGACACACTGAGCAAGAAGAGGAAGAAGTGCATTGGTCGACGCAGGGCAGGTTCCAGAGCAATGATCCAGAGGACAGTACCATTGCCCAGGGCAGAAAGCAAATAGACAATGATGAGGGGCATGGTCCACCAAGAGGGTACAGCTGCCAGGCCTGGCATGCCCACCAACAAAAAGGTGGGAGCCATTGGAGTGCTGTCATTGGGGGTTGCGAGGGCAGGAAATACTGACATAGTTCAAGATTCTGCTTTGAACCTCTGGAATCTGAAAACTGATTAGAAAGATTTACTTAATTTTGTGTCAAATTTGCATAACATTTAGCCTGTCTCTTTCCTCTTCTGACTCTCACAGTTGTACACACATTTTCTCCCCACATACATATTCATTTGCTAGCTTATGAGGTATTTATTCCTTGCTTGGAGTTTTTCTATAGTGTCTTCAAAGCTCTGTGGCTGTTTCTTTCTATAAATTGTTTTCTCAGTTTTCTTTAACCCTGCCTTTCTTTGTAGTGTTTTCTTAATTTATCCTCCTCCCTTAGTGACAACTCTTGAAAAGAGGGTCTATACTCTATATTCATTTTTGTTTCTCTTCCCATGCCCAGATAATGTGGCTTCTGTGCTGCCTTGACACATTCACCTTTTGGTATATTTAAAACTGCTTTTACTAAGTCATTCTTTCTTAGGACTTTTTTTCTAAATAAACAGTCACTCATTTTTTCCAAGCTTGATGTATTTCTTAATGAGATTTAGCTGCTAAGAATCCATTTTTAACTTTTATTTTTAATTTTACATCTTAATATTTAACATTTTAGTTTACCTTGCTGTGTCTCTGCAATTTTTACATTGGTAATGTAAAGAAATTTTTTTTTCTTGTTCATCAGTGGTTTTATTTATATTCATGACTTTGACTAAACTCTACAAACTGATGAATCACAATTATATTTCCCAAGACCATTCCATATTCATCTCATTCTGAAAATCTCTACTTGGATGTCTCTTGCATTTGAAATTTAAATAATCCAAAACAGATCTTAATTAATGCATCTTGAAATGTAACCCAGAGTATTCAGTTAAGAAAGAGTAGAGAGAAGTGTTCCCTTTTCTCCACATCTACGCCAACATCTCTTGTTTGGGGATTTTGTGATGTGGGCTAATCTTACTGGAGTTAGATGATATCTAAAAGTAGTTTTGATTTTGGAAGAAGAAGTATCCAATGTACTCAGTCTTACTATGAAACCAATTTATAGCATTCTTATGAAAGGTATAACCCAATTATAGCCCAAGAAAAAGGAGAAAAGGGAAAGGGAGGGGAGGAGAGAGGGGAGGTTGGGTGGAGGAAGAGTAATTGGTGGGACCACACCTATGGTGCATCTTACAAGGGTACATGTGAAATTTACTAGATGTAGAATATAAATGTCTTAACACAATAACTAAGAAAATGCCATGAAGGCTATGTTAACCAGTTTGATGAAAGCATTTCAAATTGTATGTAAAACCAGCACATTGTACCCCATGATTGCATTAATGTATATAGCTATGATTTAATGAAAAAAATTAAAAAATAAAATTTTTTAAAAAGAAAGAAAGAGCAGAGAGAAAACTACAGCAATAGTAAAATCAATGAGGCGTATTTTGCTTCCCTAAGTCAGCTAATGGTGTCACCATTCATCTGTTTTTCCAAAATGAAAGCCTCAGGAGTAGCCTCTTCTCACATTTGGTATTTTTTATAATTTCAACAAGAAAGATTGGGCACACACTATAGTCTTATCTCCTTCCCCAAGCCAAAAGTCCCCAAAAAGTTGGAACTGAAATTCCAGACAAAGTAGCCATGAAAATTGAGAGCTAGGAAAAAGTAAAATAGAAGTTATGTTGTTAGGGGAATGACATAGATGCAAATTAATCCCAAACATTTATTATATGATTCTAAATATATATTTCCTAAGACATGAAATTGAAATATTTGAATACTATATATTTAAGCTCAAAAAGGAAAATAGATGCAAAAAAGGCTTAATTGATCCATGCAAAATGTTAAGCAAGGAATAAATAGAAACAGACATTCCTTTCTAGTGTGATGGAGTGAGGAGGCTGACAAATCCTCTCCTCTGCAAAGCATCTACCAAACTGGTGAACCATCAATAGCATCCACATCAGTACTCTGGAAATCTGTCAAGGAGATCAGCCTGTGTATTCAAACTACTGCTTTCCGTGTTCTGGCCCAGGGCTCCTTCCCTCACCCCCAATGCCTCCAGCTTTGTCAACAGTGGTGATACAGGGAAAGCCAATAGCTTTTGTCCTGGCTGTCTGAGGCAGAGTCCTTTGTTCTGCATACTGTTTGTTAGAGACAATTTTGTTGGCAAATGACTACTGTCCTGACATCATCGTCCTTTTTTGGGGGGGAGGGGAATCTACAAATGTACAAGAGGTCTAGCAGGAAGGAAATAAAACCATATGACAAGTGCAATTTATAGGAAGGCATGAAGAATGCTGGATATAGTCAAAATGCAGATAAATAAAAAGGACTCTAGACATGTTTTTCTTAAATGTTCTCTAAATTTCCTTCAAAGACATAGATTATGTGAAGAAACAATTAAAATGTTGTATTGTTGGGCCAATAATGTGTGTATCTGTATTTATGATAATAATTATATCATATTTTATATTTTATAATACAGTTTTAGATTAAAAGGGGAACTGGAAGTATATTAAAATAAAATTTCAAATTTTAACACAGATGAAGGCAATGGAAGAACTGAAAAACAGAAAGGGCACAAGACTAACAGAAAACAAATAGCAAAATGGCAGGTGGAATTTCAATCAGATCAATAATCACAAAGTGAATGGATTAAACACACCATACAAAAAGCATACATTGTTATGCTGAATGAAAAGCAAGTTATTTTATACAAAATAGGAACTCTAAACAGACTTACACCAAATAAAGTCAATTACTAACTAAAAATATTGCTATAAAAAAAAAAGCCAATGGCACAAGACTGCCAAAACATTAAATTGGAAAAGGATAATCTCTCCAAAAATGGTACTGATACAACTGGATATCCATATGCAAAAAAGATAAATTTAGACACTTAATCATATATCATACAAAATCATTAACTTCAAATGGACCATGAGCCTAAATAGAAGAGCTACCACTATTAAATATTTAAAAGAAAATGTAGGATAGAAACGTCATAACCTGGGTTTAGGGAAAGAGTTCTTAGAAGGCACTATCAACCCAAATAATAAAAGATAAAATTGGTAGTCATAATCAGGAAGTTTTGTAATTCAAAATACAGAAGCGTAATGCACAAGAAAATTAAATTTTAGAAGTCATCGTCACTCTAATATAAAGCAAAGTAACAAAGCAGACAAACAAGCAAGAATAAAACTTAATACAACACATTCATTTCTTTATTAAGAAAGCTACATTTGATTGAAGGGGGAAAACTCAGTGATAAAAAATTGGTATACAGATTAAATTGTAACTCCATTGTAAATTTCTACAAAATTTCTCCTAGAACTTAGCTATCTCATTCTTAATTTTCTATGCAATAATAAAGATGAAAAAAATGAGGCAATTTTTAGAAAATCAAAAGGGGACACTCATATTAGAGACCAAATATCATGTATTTCTAAAGAAATTAGAATAATGTGTTATTGTCACAGACAGTATAAAAGAGATAGACCTTTTCATACAGAGAAATAAATATGTATTATTTGCTATGGTGCAAAGATAAAATTTGAGAACATCTATATTTTTAAAAATATAATTTAGATCTTGGTTTTGTAGTATTCATTGAAAGTAAATCTAAATCTAGTTCCTGACTTATGTGAAGTGTCAGAAAATATGTTCCATAATTTTTTTCACTCCTATGTTTGTACTTATTCAGTTCTATTTCCCTAAAGTTTCTCCTGGATTTGATCCCTCTTTCTGCAATGTCCATTTAGCTTTCTTATTTCTTTCCCCAAAACATTCCACCTACCCCTCCTGCATAACTCATATATGTTTCCTGAAAGTCTATTTCTTCCCAACATATTTCTAGTCCTCATCCCTCCACATGACTCTTCTGGTCTCTGCCGCTCTGCATGGTGCTTCTCGGTGGCTGGACTAGTGATTAGGAAAATAGGGATTTCTGATTCATACCATGCATTTCATAGAATGTCCCTGCTCATTGAGAACAGGTCAAGTAACAGGTGCGTTTGATAGAAGATAAGTAGAGGAAGTTGGGAATGTCTATTGAGAAAAGCTTGTGAGGCTTTGTGGGGATATTTGAGCTACCACATGGGACCTTTATTTGTGTATGTCTGTGTTCTGTGTGGTTATGGACACATAATCATACAGAACACAGACATATATACATGCACATATGTGTCCATAACCCCACAGATCACAGACATATGTACATGCACAAAAGTGATGCATGGAATAAATGCACACTTATACACACATGAAAGGGATTTATATTTACAGACATAAATATTTTTGAGACAGCTCCATATCAAATTATTAGTTTTTAATCAAAAATGTGCATTCATAATCACATATATTTTCAAGGTTTCAGAAATGCATGAATGCTTATTCTCTAAGATAGAAATATTTCTGTCTAAGTACTGATACTCACACACACCTATTCACAGAGGCTGAATCATTTTTCCACAAACACACATATACAGACAACGAATAACTTCTATTCCTTCACATACACACATATTTACAAACATTCCTTCAATATGAAGCACACACACATGCCTGCAAATACATGAGAAATGAAGGTGATCATAAAACTCTTGTGATCACATCTCATATCGCACGTACTATTAGATAATTCTTATTTTACTCCAAATATTTTCCAGACTGCTGCAAAGACAAGTAAATCTTTCTCTTATGAAAATCTTATTTTTTATAGATTTAATTTGGGGGATTCAAATTCATAAGTGGGGATATTGTCACCAAAAGACATTTACAAATATAGAAAAATATTTTCTGTAAGAAGACAATTTTTTTTTATTAATTACCAGATTAGTTCCTGCTAAGACTACTAAAGGGATGGAATGTGAGATATTTAGTTATAGGAGTGACCAGATGCTGGCAAAATGGAGAAATCTGGGCAGTCACATAGAGATAGAAGATTTTAATATTATGGAAACATTTTCTCACTTCATACTTGTGTTCACACCTGGCTCTGGTCATCACCATCTTTTTCACAATTCTCCCTAGTATTTACCAGGCC